TTTTTTCTTTTAACATTGCTGACTTGCCTTTAATTTGATGTTACTTCACTTCCAGATGTTACCATTCAATCAGCATCAGCGAAGCCAAATCTTTGGTCAGTTCCTGATAACACAGACAAAGGAGCAGTTGTGTATGAGTGTGTGTTTTTGGTTTGTTTGGTCTTTCTTCCAGAGCAATGCACTTCAGTTATGTCATTAGGAATAAGAATTCAATGCAAATACAACCTTTTTTTTCTTTTAACATTGCTGACTTGCCTTTAATTTGATGTTACTTCACTTCCAGATGTTACCATTCAATCAGCATCAGCGAAGCCAAATATTTGGTCAGCAGCAAGCACTATGGTCCACACTGCAGCTTATTCTGGCCAAGATATTCTGACCAACACACAAAACACTGTTACCATTTAGGGGCAAGTTTATCTGAAAAACATGATAGCAGAGTAGACAGATGTAGAAGAAATGCATATACAGTAACAGCAAGACAGTGTCCACAGACGAATATATAGAAAACACCGAAGAAAAGTGTGTGAACTAGCAGTGGTTAATTCACACAACTAAGAAAACAAAGCTGAATAGTTTTGCTTGTGAATCTCTAGTTAATTCACTACCAAGTGCCTCATTTGAAACTTTCAAAAATTTGAAGCCACTGACTTGCCTTGCAAACTTTGGCGAATCCAGTGAACTTAGCATTCATATCACTCAGTTACCATTTAAACATGATTTTGTTTTCAGTAAGACTAAAAAAACTGGGTACTCCTACCCCCAGAAAGCTGCATTGCTGTCCAAGCTATCGGTTTTCACAACTTTTTAGACAGTATCAGTTGGTCATAAACTAATATTCACAGATACGGGCTCACACTGTTTTAATGTACAGATTTAAAAATGAAACTTTTTTTTTTATTATAAAACTTCCACTGACCAACAAAATATTCCAACAGAACGTGGCATTTCATAGGGACGTGTATATGTCAAAGGCCCTGGTTATCCTGGCATTCACTAGACAGAAAAATTAGACGTAAAGAGCATAGACCAAGGATAATGTTACATGGACAGGTCTGTTCTACAAGGCAATCAGCCAGGAGTGAAAGGGGAGCGAAACACGGCCCCTGAAAAACGAATTACCTTAGCGTGACTGAAAGGGAAACAATAGACTAAGAGGGTGCAGATAGCTAGAAATTCCATTTTGCTTTGTCTAATGGGTCGATAACAGCGGATGGCCAAAAAGCAGCCAACAGGAGCGTGAAGAGAGAAACAACATCGGAGAGCATGATTTAGGACGGCCAGTACTTCCAAGTATCTGAACAAGCACTGTAAAGTAAAAAAATAACTAGAATACAAGCACACTATTATGCATTCCAGTTGAAGACAGTAAATTAAGAGAGAAAAGATCTGTTGTCTGCTGTATATATATATATATATATATATATGTGTGTGTGTGTGTGTATGTGTGTGTATATGTGTATACACACACTCTCTCCAGCCACCCACAAATAGTCTATAAACAAAGCATCAGGCTGTCTTTGAGTTCACATGAACAACGGTTAAAGTTACTCGTCGTCAGGCTACAGAAGAATACCATAATTCCTCCGTTCAATTAGGCCTAAGACATCGAGAGTCACGCAGACCTATAACAACCCAGCCACAACACATAATTGCGAATAACATGCCTTACACAGAATCGACCACCGAGTCCAGCGTTTATATTTTTTCTACGAATCTTTGGGTTAACATGTACTAAACATGAGTGGAATTTGCACCGCAGCGCTCCCACACCTTGATGCTCATGACAAGAATAGCATGTATAGTTATCTTTATTGAAGTGAATTAGGTTTAAATTGCCGTCATGCATGAATGAATGATATTTTTGCAATTTTACACATAATAATCCACGATGATCACATTACACAAAACTGAAATTGCACGTCAAAATAACACATTGTCAATATTTTTTGAGACCCCCCAAAATTTCACAAATCCCGTTTTCAGGGGAGCCCATGTCTTATTAAGGGGAGCCGAGCTCCCCCTAGCTCCCCCGTAGTTCGCAGCCTGAGTATATATATATGGAATGCAGCAGAGAAAAGATATTTTCGCTCTTAATGTACAGAAAACAATTGGCATAGAAATAACTTTCACTCAGAAATTGCTAGTAACTTTCAAAAAAAATTAAGTCAATTTCGAGTTAGTAACACACTGAATTAATCACAAAATTACTTGTGTGTGTGTTTATCATGATTAAAAATGTCTACACCAATTATTTTCAATGTGTACTTGTATTCCTCTCAGAAAAATAAAAAAATAATTATAAATAATACAATAAAATAAAATACAATACTAACTATTATAATACTAATATAACATACTTTTTGGTAGACAAATAAAACTTTTAGTAGACAACTATGAATTATAGTTGAGAATACTGTACTGCAAAGTTTATTGACAATGTGGGGAGATTCTTTTACATTGCAATGCTTTATCTGAGTGGGCGCAATAAAATAAAAAATAAATGAAATAACGGGTAAAAGTGCTGCTGTTCTTGGCAGTGAATGTGCAAAAGTGCCAGCATAGCCAGAAAGTAAAAGCAGAACGACAGGTGATGAGGCAGTCCTGCGTGTTTGGATGTTGGAAAGGCAAAGCGGAGGCAGGACTGTGGGAGCAGAGACTTAGTCAGATTCCACAAGTGCAAGATGAATCTTGTCTAGCGAACTGTGAAGATCGGAAAAAAAGCTGACTTTAACTGAATAAATGGTTGAGGGTGAGAAGTCCAAGCATGTTTGTTCAGACACAGTGAATGTGGAGAGCTCAATAAGGACATACTTTCACACCATCACAATCTGCCTGTGAAGCTACCCAGAGTTCCAACAATTAGTGCTGATCCCGTGAGGCACAAAAGCGCTGACAAACTTTCTCTATTTTTGACTTTTTCTCTCATATAAAAGAGAACATTTATGCTTATCTCTATAATCTAAACCCAAGGTTTTGTGTATCTTGCAAGTAATGTATGATATATAACAGTTTGATCGTTTTTGTTCAATTCCGTCAGCAATTTTCTGATCCTCAATGGACTTTATTATTATTATATAATGCTCTTTTGACTATTAAATGTGTTCATATAAGCACTTGAGGGGCAGTAGGTTGTGTCTTAGATTCAGCTCAGCTATTATTCAAGTCAGCCTAATGGATTTGTCTCAAATGCCAGACAAATAAGTTCTTATAATTTTCCCTATTATAGTGTCAAGTATCATGGCACAATGTTAATACCTCCGCACAGGGTGAACGTGCTGGATTGTATTGCATGGTGAAATGTATGGTAATAAATAGAGCTGGAATGGCACCGTCATTAATCAGAAGTAGCACAGTAGACCAGCCTCTGCGGAGAGAGATGAAGCACTTTGTAAGTAATGGAGGAGCTGCCAGTGGGGAAGATGGGAGGCTTTCAAGCCAGCCTTCCCCACATAGTCAGCAAAGATCAACAGCAAAGCAGGCAAAGTGCGACTGTAAGGGAAACAATTTCACTGAATTTACACCAGAGAAAAGCATTCATTCACAAATATACTTTCACAAAAAAATGAACTGATGTTCAATTAAATTGAACAAAATTATTATTTGAGCAAAAGCCTGAAATACATTTTAGATTTCAACTGCTAAACATAATTAAAATTATTTATAAAATTAAATTAAAATGTAAAAATAAAATAACATTTTAGATTTCAACAGCTAAATATGATGAGCTAAAACTTGCAGAAAAACTGGCAGATGCAGTTTGATGGAAGATATTTGGTCAGATTTTTTAAAATAAAATAATACAATTTTATTAAATATAAATGAAATAAAAAACTTGCAATAAAATAACAATAAAATGAAAAAAAAAAGAATAAAATATTAGATTTTAACTGCTAAATCACTCAGTTCTGAAAATATGGCTAACACAGTTTATTGGGAGATTTTTCGAAATTTTTTTAAAAATAAATTAATAAAATAAAATAAAAATAAATACACACTAGTATGTACTAATCTAATAGACAGGGCCTCAAAGTCATAAAACTTCTGTTGCTCTTCTCTTGAGTCCATGGGGTGTTTCAGGAGTAAAATGATCAGTCTTTGGGTTACCAGGACTAACATCATCCTGAATAAAATTACTGTTCTCACTGGCACACTTATCATCAAATATCCTCTTTGAGACCACCGTCTCACACTCCAAATAACCATGAATAACCATGGTAGATAAAACAACAAAGAAGAGACATTCATCTCTCTGAATATAATATTGTGAGATGTGTTTGTCCTGCATACTCACGGACACAATCTTGCTCTCCTGGACGGGTGTTGTCCAAATACCACTTGACGGATGTGAACAGGAGACACTTGCAGAGCACTTGCCTGCCACAAATTCAGATAAGAGTGGTGAGGAATGGAGAAACGAAATAAAAGAGGAATATTTTCCAATATACCCTCCATTTTTTTATCAATAATGTACACCATCACACACAAGCATCCACAAATGGCCACCAAAAACATTAAAAAATTCACTGATTTTGTGTGTGTGTGTTTTATTTATTTTTATTATCTATCTATCTATCTATCTATTTTTAATTTAATTTATTTTTTTAAACATCTTTTGTTGGGGGTTTATGTATATACTGTACACACACACACACACACATATACCCACACATATAGACAATTTCTTATTATTATCAATATATATATATATATATATATATATAAATTTTAATTTATTTATTTATTTATTTTTAATTTAATTTAATTAAATTTTTTTTTACATTTTCTGAAACTTCTGTCAATTTTGAATAATTTAATCTTGTAAAATAAAAGTATTTATGCTACATATGTCCTTAAATTATTACATAATGATACTTCTCATTGGTAATTTTTCTGAGGTAAAACAACTTAACAATAGAGGTACAATATGATTTTAATACCATTACTTGTTAAAACTAACATTTTAATTATACAGAAAAGTTCATTTATCTACATTCTAGTGTTCATTTTTATTCATTCATTGAACTTAAACATGAAAAAGTAATGAGCTGCCATCAAAGAAATGTCTGCCCGGTGGTTGTCGTTAAGATACAAAGCCGAATTGTGATTTCCCCCCTCTTTCCCAATGCGGTGCTTTTTTTTTTTTTATCATGCTGCTCCGACATCACTTTCTGTCAGGCTGAGTAAGTGAGCTCATAAGAATCTGCCTCAGGGGATAAAATCATCCATGGACAAAGCTGTAAAACCACAGATTAAATGCGTCACCAAATCCCTCCTGATTACTGTTTGTCATTAAACACTACATCTGTAACAGGTCCGCCAGAGCTATTACGAAGCTGAAGGTAACGGTGATGATTAGACAATGGAGATGTGTGACATGACGGTCAGTGTGAAATGGTCTGAGCCAATGAAGATGAGTTACAGGCCCTGAGTTGCTTTGGTAAAGTTTCAGCAAATTATATTCAGGTGGAGGATAGTGGAGCAGGATGAGAGGTGTAGAGATGAGACAGGAGTGACAGATAAAGGGGGCGCGATGCAGAAAGATGAATGGCTGTCTACAAAGCACTTTGGGAGAGGGATAATATGGTTGAGACGGACTCGGTCTCATTTTTCATGCTTAGGGAAAACAGCAGCAATACTTCTTCCTCTTTCTCAATCCCTCTGTATTTTCACACCCATCTGACTTTGCGGTACATGAGTCCCCAGTCGCTGCATCAATTAAAGGTGTCATTCACTGAAAATAGAGCATAACTTGGTACGAATCCACTGCATGCGTGTCACGCTTTTGTCAGAGCATCTCTTTATGAGTCATCCTACAGCTCATCTAGCTGACAAAAACCCACATTAGTTATCGCCGTAACATCGCAAGTCCTGGGTTTGTAAGATAGCATTCAGAATTAGATGAGTCTAAACAGCGTGGGGTTCATTCCGACATCTTATTCACTAACCAGGCAATATCGGCGTAAAATCTGTGGAAGTCGCTGCGATTCTATACAGCACAAAATACACCTCTTTTTATGTAAATTAGGCTTATTATTTATAGATTGTGGCTTATTTACAAAACGCAGCACTATACCGCCCACAGACCGCAGGAGGTAAACTGAATTTTATTAAAAAGAGATGTTTGTTTGCATTTTATGGCAGCAGTAATTTCATCAAATAAAGATCAAATGATGGGAAGAGTGCAATAACCAGGCATACACCCAGAAGTGCCTTGAAAACACACAGTTTTGGCCTTTTAAAATGGGTCGCAGTGGGTGCTACAGTTCCAGTAAAGCATGCCAGATTGTGATAGTCTGCTGCATTCTCCATACCTGTGCAATAGTAATTTAAAAAAATACACATTTTTGGAAGCACGTTTGCTTTGTTGCCTAGATTTGCATAATTCCTTTAGTGGATTGGGCAGTAAAACAATGCACAGCATGCAAATAAACCATCCAATCAGCGGGCGCACTTCATTCTCAGCGAATTCCTCCCTGTATTTTAAAGCAAATTAATCTGTACATTTAGACAGGATTCAAAATAGATGGATGAAAATTTTCAAGGTTGAATTGAACCTGGATGGACTTAATTGGTTTTGATGTTATCCAGCACTACTTTCTCATTACTTTGCCTGGACTTTCTGTAGTAATCATCACTTCCTCCAGCCGCTTTCTTAACATTGAGTTTCAGCCTTATAATGTACTTAGATCACAGCACAGATAAAGGCCACAAGGGCTTGGGGGTTTTATTGCTTGATGAAATGAAAAACTGAGGCCTTTTCCCACTTGACTGACCAACACCTCCCCAATTTCCCCCACCACACCAATCCCCCACACACACTATCTCCTCATGCCAACCAGATCCCACTTTCCTGCTTTTTCTTCCTTTCAGAAACTTTAGAGGTTAAAGGGGTCGCTTCTCCCAGCTCATTTCTCAGCAACCATGTGCTTCCAATTGAATCTGGTCAAACCTGCGAAAAAAAGAGAGAGATAGAGATAGGAGCTGCGTTCCAATTCACAGAGTCCCTACGTGGTGTTCAGATATCTGAAGATGTTCACCTGCAACATAATGAAATAACAGCTGAGTCATGCACATAATGAGTTTTGGATATGATGACAGGATATGGAAATGAATTTTTGTGTATAATACTGGTGGGTAAAGTTCCCTCTCCACTGATAATGGGTATTATTTTAAATTTTGTATTAAGTACTGATGAATGTATTATTATGAATGCATTATGTGTTATTACTGTATATATAAAATGAATATTGTTATGTTTATTTATTAACCCAACATTCAGATCTGCATGACTCAACTGTTATTTCATGACAGTGCAGACCGTTCCAAATGAACACATTTTATTTATTAACAGCTGAGTCACACAGATTAGAAGTTTTGCAGGACTTTAAAATTACAATATCTAAAAGAGAAGTTTTGGCTAATTTATAATATGTGTGCATATTCTTAACTCTCACCAATGGCTGCACTAATGAAATTTCATCACATTTATGTTAGCAAAACTTTATATACGTCAATAGTGGGTAAATTTCCCACTCCACTAACACATTATATATGGTATGATTTAATATACTGTTTAATGTCATATATCAAAACATACATTAATATTTATATTGTAAATTTATATTCATTTATTAGGTATGTGATATCATCAAATACACAAAATTCACCTCTACATGACTCGACAGTTATTTCATGACTTTTTTCAGACTGTTCTTTTCAACAAATTTAACAAAATACCGCAAATATCTCAGTTTTAAGTGAAATATCAGATCACTTCCATATCTAAAGTCCCCTCTGTACTGAACACATACGCTTCATACGAGTTGGAATCTAAATTAATACACATAGATCAGAATTGCATCTGGAGAGCATTTAGAATGTTAAGGACCCGCTGACAGGAATCCCTCTCTATGCTTTAATTAATTTTTAGTGTAAAGGCTGTCAATGATTAAAGTGATCATTTCTGCTGGCGAGGGCTTTAATCAGTATAATGGTTCATTAATGGCTAGATCCCATCTGCCCACTGCTTATGCTGGCAATAACCTTCACATAAACCTTTAAACATAGCTGCTTTGTATACAACACGTCCTTGAATCACACCAAATGCCCAACTTCTCAAATTTATGATTGTTAGAAAAAGTTCAAGGCCATTAATTTCAAACTACCTTCTGTTTACAACATATTCAATCCTTTTGGTAAAAGAACAGCTTGTTAAAATTCTGTGATGCATTATGAATACTATGCATTCCATTCGAGTGTGCTTTTACACTAGTCGATAAGCAATACATTTAGAAATACATACACACGTTGAATGAGTAGCCAGCGATGCATGAAGCTCTGGGTGAAATCCTTGCACCTTTCAGATATTGATTTCCCAAGAACAACAGGCTTTGGAGCATGATAGGTGAGCGCTGGAGTCCTGCATTAATCATAAATTCAGAGGTAAAGTTAATGCAATGCAGAACTTCAAAAAAAAAAAATGTCTAGTCTGACAGAACATAATGCACTCCAGAACATCTCATCTCCAGTGTTTAATAAAAACAAATGAGATGTTGCTGCTAGTAATCTAAACCTGTCTAAAATGCAAATACAGTGTCATGAGGGGGTTTAATTTCAGAAAGGCCTACATTCTGCTCCACGAAATGTTTCCTCCCATAATGCCATCATTCCATGTAACGTGAAGAGACACACATTTGTGCCGAATTCCACGGCCTCGTATTGTAGGACAGTGTCATTGTGACAACACCGGACTTTTTGGAGCCCTTACATGGCACTGTAACCCTAGCCAATTAAAAATCCCATTTCATCCTCAATAACGCTTTATTCTGGATGGGTGAACTCAGCCTCCTCTGGTTTACACTGTCTATGGAGTAGGTGCATACTGACTGTTCAAATGAGGCTTGAGTTCTTCTGTCTGAGCTGGCCAGCTGGGTAAAGAGAACGCAGAAGCGATTATCTTCAGCTAAAGTTAATGGAACCAACATAGCAGAACAGGGAATACTCTGTGTGGGAATTAGGATGACAGTTGAGTTTAAACATAGTTAACCTTTAACAGTTTTGTGAGCCGAGATGTCTCATTCAGTTAGTAACACAAAAACATGCATCAGTGTTGAACCTGAAGTAGATTTTATGTTAAAATACGGTTGCCTTTCATACAAAAATCAACAAAGTTATCCATCTAAAATTATTTGGGACCCCTAAAACTGCTTTATGTCTGTATGTTGTGCCATTGACTTAAGAAGTCGTACTATCTATTTATAATAGTGTGTCCATGTGTGTGTGTATGAATGACCGTTCAACTGTTCAGTAAGATTTTTTTTTTTTTAAAGAAATAGATTTCAGCATATTGAAATTGATAGTCAGCAAGGATGCATTAAATTGATCAAAATAACAGAAAAGACTAATTGTTACAAGAAAAAAAAGAAACAAATAAATGCTGTTCTTTTGATTTTTCTATTCATTAAATAATTATGTCTGGTTATTTTAAGCAGTACATCCGTTTTCAAAATTGATAGTAATAAGAAATATTTTTGAGCACCAAATTAGCATATTAAAATGATTTCTGAAGGATCATGTCACACTGAAAACTGGAGTAATGACTGCTAAAAATTCAGCTTTTCCATCACAGGAATAAATGACATTTTAAAATATATTAAAGTAGAAAACTGTTATTTTAAATTGTAACAATATTTCTGTTTTTATTTGTAGTTTTGCTCAAATAAAGGCAGCTAAGCGAGCACAAGAGACTTATTTTAAAAGCATTTATTTTTAAAAGCATATTTTTAGAAGTTACACAAGTTGCACCAAAATACCATTTTGATTTCATAGTGTCTTTAAATTGCTACACTTGAAATGCATTTGCTATTTTTCTAAATACAGTAGGAAAACTGATTTAGCCATCTAGTAATTATCTGTATCTCAGAATAGAAGTAAAAGATTAGGTGGACCAAAGAACACAATCCAGGGAAATTATCTCTTAGGAGGGCTTTGAGTCATGAAAAGAGCAAACCTGCTGAGCAATCACAGCATGGGAGGCCTCGCACATGGCTTTCATTAAACGGCACGCGCTCGTATATTAAGAGACCTCTGGACCGTCTACGCTGAAGGCACAAACCTGCTGAGCACAAAAAGCATCTCAATCAATACTCTCCTCAGAAATGCCTCCTCTAGATTTTCAGCTGAATGTCTGCTAAAGTGTTTTTACCTAACTAATGGATTTTTACCAGTTCTGGCAGTCGTAATCACTACGCAGATTGGTAGCAACATAATTTATATCTCATTACACTGTGTTTCAGATGCTACTCATTAATCACAAAGCTATTCAAGTGAGAAGCAAGGATGAACTCCTAGATTTTTAGCTTAGATTTGTTAAATGTAGCAGAATCTCTTTTTGTATTTTCTACTCTTTCCACTATCACCAGCAATCACAGCATGGGAGGCATCGCACACGGCTTTCATTAAACAGCACACGCTCGTATATTAAGAGACCTCTGGACCGTCTACGCTGAAGGCACAAACCTGCTGAGCACAAAAAGCATCTCAATCAATACTCTCCTCAGAAATGCCTCCTCTAGATTTTCAGCTGAATGTCTGCTAAAGTGTTTTTACCTAACTAATGGATTTTTCCCAGTTCTGGCAGTCGTAATCACTACGCAGATTGGTAGCAACATAATTTATATCTCATTATACTGTGTTTCAGATGCTACTCATTAATCACAAAGCTATTCAAGTGAGAAGCAAGGATGAACTCCTAGATTTTTAGCTTAGATTTGTTAAATGTAGCAGAATCTCTTTTTGTATTTTCTACTCTTTCCACTATCACCACGAAGAGAAATAATTCCGCTTTCTCTGGGATCTGTGGCTTGAGATCCGTTAATACCTGAGTCAGGAAAACCCCTACACAGGAACAAAGCTTCCCTCTCCAGCCTTCTGTTTCAACACGACATAATCCAAGTGGGTGGATGAATCTTGCTTCGAGCGCTCGTCTATTGTGAGACGGCTAAGTTATATATTTTTTTGTACCATTGTTCTGATCCAATCTGTGCCAAAAACATGAAATGATGTGAGGGAAATGCAGAAATACAGCATTGATTGGCTTAGTACAAAGGATGCAGTTTACGGCTCCAACAAAAGATTCAGTGACGCGGCGCTTTATAAGAGAAACAATGCAAAACGGCAGTGCGTTGAGTTCACACACTTAAGTGGGAGTTCAAAATCATGAGATCTTACAGAGTTTGGCACATAAAACACAGAAACACATTCTAGTAAAACAAAACACCAGTTCCTCGAGAGACAATTCTCTCAATATAAATAGAAAATAATACAATAGATGGATTGTTCTGAGCATAGAAAGTGTCAAATGCAATTATCACCTTTACAACTGATATTTTCCAGTTTATTACTAGCCTGGCAATAGCCTGTTTTTCTGTTCTTTGCACAAATTCTGCTGTGAAGAATAAGGATTTTTGGAAAGCTAGAAATGCATGGCAGGTTGCTGACAGAATGCCATTTGATCCTGGCATATGAGGGTATTCCTTAGAGAGAGAGTAGTAGTGGAGCCAGAGACAGATGAGTCTTTTGAGGGGTCTCGCCTCCCACTTTCACATGAGGTGGGGGTGAGTTTTGTGAGCGCACACACATGGCTGTGTGTTATTGATCTAATATGATGCTCAACCCACCCACTCACAACAGGAAATGGAACTGTATGCCACTCTGCTGGGTCACAAATAATAAGCCAAAAAACGTGTTGATGTTTGTGCTAATATATTGCAGCAATAATAATTTGCATCGAATGAGGCTGGATAACTGTAATGTGTGACGGAACATTATTATGAATGCGCGAGGAGCAGAAACACGATCTTAATAATTCACCATAGTGTGCATATTAGTAACTAGAAATACATCTCATTCTTCACAGACATGCTATAGCTGATGGTATCATCAATCTTCATATCTGGCTCTGCTTGGAGATCTTAATTAAAATTCACAGCCTCACTGTTGAGTTTGAAAAATACAGATTTTGGAACAAGGATTTTAGGATTAAATCAAAATCTAAAATGGAAACATGTGGTTCTCTGCGAGGTGAGTGTGATAGTACTTATCTACAGTCGCTGTCACTGTGGAGCGAGAATTAAACCTTTTTTCTCTGCTGAGCAAGGGAAATTTTCACTTTTCCTTGAAACTTGTGCTAGAAAATGCTGATGTTTTTTTACAAAACAGGGCGTTCTTGCTGTTTTTTTTTATACTACAGAGACATCAGCTCTGTTCCAAAACCTAATGAGCTGCCTCGCTACCTGACAGCATCTTAACTGAAATGGAAGCTCATTTGAAACGCTCTGCATAGCATGAATCATTCAAATAGTGCACAATGTAAGCCAAAGACAACCACAGCAAAAGCAATGCACTCCAACTCCTGAACGATTGAGTCTTATGAGTTAGTTTTTGCTAATGAATCAAAAGCATACAGCACAACCAGTGTAGTCTGATTCCCAAAAGAATGATTCTAATGAATCAGTACTTTTTATTGAATCAAACACATACACGGAGACCAGCAGCCTGATTCATTTAAGAATAATTTGGTTCTTTTTAGTGAATCAAAAACACTGCTGCTTAGAGCGTATTAAAATGTAGAACCAGTGTAATCCAATTTCCAAAGGAATGACTGTAATGAATCAGTTCTTTTTAGGCAACACATAATGTGGGACAAAACACATACAGATTAAAACTTACAACTGCAAACACACCAAAAATGAAAAATATAGTGATAACTATAAAAATAAAGTTAAAATTGATGTAAATTTAAAAGAAAAACAGAGTCCAGACTACAACTAAAACAACAGAGAAAAACCAAATCTCTGGGATTGCAGTGCAATTGAACATAACTGAAGTGGGCGTTTAGAATAAAAATAATGTTATTGTTTGTTGGTGTGGACACTTATCATTATGGTTATTGTTATATAGTAGATATCATTCTTGGTGTGAATGGGCCTTAAAGAGATAGTTCACTCAAAAATAAAAATTCTGTGATTAGCTGCATTTAAACATAATTTTACATTTAAGTTGTTCCCAAAATGTATGAATTTATCTCTTCTGCTGAACACAAACAAAGATATTTAGAAGAATGTGGGTAACCAAACAGTTTTCAATTTCATAGTATAAAAAAAATGAAATTTTATTTTGGGGGGGAATTATCCCTTTACGTCTCAAATTAGTAGTCACTAGTTGTTCGCATTACAATGTGTAGCTAAAGAAGCACACTGTTCATTTTGTAGTATTTTATAAAGTAATTGTTTTATAAACAAATGATACAATTTTTATATTGAGGCCAATTATTTTCCTCTGAAAAACATGAAAAAAACACTAATCTCATAAAGTGATAATTCAAAAACTGAATTGCATTTTGATTTTCAGAAATTGTTA